GCGGATAGACGAAGCCAGCACGTAGCTCGCTCGAAGGTCGATGACACCGCCGGGTTATAAAGTGGGTCACGGAGCAGTAAGCTCCCTGCCAATAAATTGGCAGAGATCAACGACTGTGCTGTTTTCAATTCAAAGCGGTCCATACGGCAGTTTTTTAAACGTGCAGCATACTACAGCCGGTTTGTTAAGGATTTCATCACGATCGCTGAAACTATGGGCCTTGCTCGGGCAGAGTCGGAACCTTGAATGGACCAGAGGAACTTTGAGCGTGTCAAAGGGCGGATGTTGGACCAGCAACTGACAATCAAACTGAATAGATTCGGAGAGATTTTAACTATTGAAAGGACGACACTGATCGCGGTATCGGCGCAGAACTAAAGCAGCGGAATAGGGTTATCTAATATGTCAGGCGTGTCCTGACTAACGCTGAACGGAAGAACTCGACCATCAATAAAGAATGTTCAGCGATTGTCTGGGACCTGAATAAATGGAGCCATATATACTTGAGCACAGATCTCATGTCGATACCGATCCGAACACCCTGGAGTAGATGGAGACCACCAGAGATGCTGGAAAAATGTCGCGTGCTGGGCACTCCGACTGCAAGAGTACAACATCACAATGCAATGTACCCATGGACCATAGGATTTTAAAGGTACCCATAAAGCCAGGAGGAACGTTGAAACAATTTTGTAGACCCAGGTTGTTGCTCATTTGCCTGAATCGCATATGCACATTTTGTTGGAATAGGTTTGCCCAAATGAACAAGCAGATCAAAATGGTCGATCTTACCTTGATTAGCATAAAATTTGTACCGCAGGCCTATTAGAATTGTGGTGGACACGTTTTTTCACATTATCGCTATACATTTGTAAGGCAAACTTCGGTTCACAGGAGACGCACTGTATGAAATTCCAGGCACATTAAGCTTCAAGTAAGCCGGCATATGATGCGTCCTTGTTCCCTTCTTATTGATTTCTTGTTTTGCATCTCCCACGTTGCATGGTTGGAAGCCATCGGTGTCCACATTTGATCATCCATATGTAACAATAATCCGTCAAAGAACCGGATTGTCCTGGTCGCTGGTTCCAACACCTTGGACAATTATCGACATTCAGTAGGTTTCCGTTGGGATTTTATTGGCGTCAGACTCAAACGTTCATCTGAATCCCGTAAGAATGGGTTTCCAAAGTGGAATTTAGGTCCCCAAACAGTTGTATCCCACCTGGTTTTCACCATGGCTCTGATATTTCAATCGGAATGGCGGTGGATAGAAGCCACAACTAATAGGCACACTAATGGATACACATTTCGTGGCCTGTATACTTCTTCGTCAGTAGTCCCTTGTCGTAACACGATATTATGTATTGGGTGCGGTCGATTCTACGGTCCTATTAAACTCAGATGTTACTGAGGTGCATAGTGTGATTCACATTAATCGGAATCCGATTTTCGTCACCCAGAGGTTTCTATGTTTGCGCCATGTTACGTGAAATCGCGGCTTGCGAGTGGAAGGTGTGGTGTTGTATAAAACAGGAACTCAATGGTATTCAATCCACCACTAATCATCTGACGTGAAATTTTAGCTTAATTATATTAGAGAAACTCTACCGGGAACCGCAGTACCGTAGTCTAGAGTGACCTGTTGTATCAACCCCGTCTCAGGTACCTCAACAAAGATCACTGACTTACCAACAACATTGGCTGTTTTGGCGAAGGCACTTGAATTGCAAGTCAAACTGAGAAGTTAAATCCGCACTACTTGGTGAGACCAAGTAGTGTCTATTTGGAATAAACATATAGAAATCCATCTTGGTCAAATTCGTTCGCCCGGTCGCCTATCCTATTGAAAATCTGTACCACTTGGTGAGATCGAGTAGCGTCTATTTGGAATAAACATATCGGAATCCATTTTGGTCGAATTGGTTCGCCCGGTCGTCTATCCTATTGAAAATGTTACACACAGTCGCACATAAGTTGCGCGGCTGTATCCATTTTTAAGATTCAGTGGACAATAATTTATTCCCAATGAGTTTCCCTTCGTTGTTTGGCCTCGAGCACGTCTCATTGTTGTTCCGTATTTCTCATGTATATAATTGTTGAATTTGGGTTGCAGACAATTATGAGGTTTCACGTGTCATTTCAGATGCCTTATCACATTTGCTGTTGGTTGATGCCTTTTCATGAGTGTAGACGCCAACGAACCCAGAAGCAAGCGAAACAATCTGATGATAACAATGATGATGATGTTGAGTATGTTGACGACGATGATTTTACTGATGTGTTCTCGTTTGTGTACTCGTTTCCGTGGCCTGAAAGTTAACACATTGATACCTACATGTCGTTTGAATGCATCATACAGCGCAAATAGTAAGCAGAAAATCTAGTAAGCTAAACATTTTCTAATGCATCCGGGGCGGAGTAAACTCTTCTAGGATTCAGTGCTACTTTTCATTATCTTATTCCAGAAACCCTTTTACAGGCAAAGTGTTCCATGACTACGAGCACGAGGGTGTATACAAAGGTGTGTGATTGACTACCGTGGAAAAGTAAGTCCGTGTTCCGGTGCTAAACAGCAAAGTGAATTCCAGCATTAGTTCGCCCTGTAACACAATGTGCAATTAAAGTGACACTGTGGAGCAAAACACAATGCAAACGTAGGGTAGAATTATCCGTTTTACCATAGTACAGACTTGTCAATCCTCTTAGACGAACACCAGTCATAAGGTCATACAGAACTCTCAGGCATCCCATTAGCAAGTTCAAACTTCTGCCCTTGGCGTATCAATTCGGTAACCGTTCTTGTCAAAAGAACCGCGAAATGTGCACGAAGACCAACAGTGCCGAATAGTTTCTCCGGGGAAATATCCTGTGATATCCCGAATGATGCACCAACCAAATCAAGCAGCGTGTCCAGGACACCACCTTCCGCTAAAGGATATCCTAGATAAGAGATGATCAGCTGTGATTCTGTTGAGTGCTGACGAGTGATACTCACCTCAAAATAGCGGTTACTTCATACGTATTTTACATTCTCCAGCTACTGAGTTAGATGAGGGTTATTTGCTAGTGCTTCCAAGTAGTCCAAGTTCGACTCAAATGCAAACCCTAGGCTTGAGGAATGAATCCAAATGCCATGCCTGATAAACAGACCAACAATCGAATTATTCAGTTTTCAGCACACAGCGATCATGGTGAATAAAATACGACTGAGGATGATCGGCACATCTTAGATTCCAATTAATTCTTAGGGTGAAGATTAATGTTCACTGGGAAGAGAGTGAGCGTAGGGATCACCATTGTCACTGGAATAATTGGTCATGCATGTAAGATAACATGAACTAATGTGAGCCTAATTGTTTGTATTTTAAAATTTGGCTAACTTTCTACAAACATTTATCTTAGGTGAGCTCGATGTTATATTTTCCCGTCAACGTCTGCACCGTTAAACAAATAATATTTCATGATCAATCATTCCTGTGACAGTGGTGTTTTCAGCAATTATTATGGTCATAGTAACAACACGTTTATTGTTTAGCAAAAAATTGAAATCCATAATCTACTCACAATTTCCTCACTAAGTACGCATCGAAAACAACATTTATACACGGAGATCTGATGGGCCGCAAGCAAAATTTAAACACGGTCGAGGACTGCCCAGATTTCTCCATGATCTTACGTCTAATGTTCGCTCAATTTAATTCATTATTCTGTAATATAGTAAAGCTGAACCTGTTAGTTGCACCTTGTCTTACACGGTGGATTGATGGAAAAATTCATTCGGTTGCTGCGCATCGGTGCGCTAATGGCGACCCACCCACGAAAAGAATTGAGCTCAAATTTTTTTATCAGCTTCAGGTGATCGAGTACGGGGACAGTGGTTGTTCCAGTGGCCAGAAGTGCCACACATGTAAGTACCGGCTGGTTAGAGCGCGTTCCGTATTCACGGCTCCAAGATATAGCGCGAGCTATTCTACTCTGGTCTGCACTTCCTCCACTGGTGAACAATCTACCTTCTCCTGCGACTTCAATGAGACCAAACGTGCCTCGGACAGTTCTCAAGTCACACACACTAGCCCGACCACACTCAACTCTCCAGTTGCCCGTGCCAACTGCAATTGGGCACCAGGCGCCGGCTGCATATCTTCGACGAACTGGTCGGAAAGCCACTGTTTGGAAGACTCCACGTCCAGTCCCAGCAAAGCGCGATCCAACGACTGCTGAATGTCGGCAAAGAACGCGGCCGGGTTAGATCCGCGTGCCATCCTGGATGTTTTGAATCGCCTCATAGCCTCCAGGAGGTCGGCCGACGTGTCGATTTCCAATGCAAGGTCTTCCTTCTTGGAGGCCTAGTACAGCTTCCAACAACATCATCTGGCGGCAACAATGGCTGCTTTTCCCCGGCCCCTGAGGGGGATCTTAAGCGTTGCGAAATTACGCTGGTCGGTCTCCAATCCAGCGGCATTCGCGACCTCCACAAAGTCCTACAGGAGGGTCGGAAAACCCCATCTTCAAAGGGTTGTGGCCAAGGAATCTTGATCGTTATCCTGGTTACCGCACCAACTAAAAGAAAGGAGGCCTCCCATGTGGAGAAATTTATTACATAATTCTAACTGACCAGTGACAGACTATTGGACACAAAAGCAATCCTCTCATATACATCTTAATCAGAAAAAACTAAACATGCACCTTCACTTAAACGCGTATTGTCGAACTATTTTGGATATACATTTGGAGTTGCAAATGGTACAAAGCGAGTCCACAGATTCCGCAAAGATCTTCAATTTCAAGAGAATTTAGAGGAAAAGAGTATGTTGCTCTCTTGCCTGTCCCATTGGTATGGGACAGGTATGGTATGAGTATATCAGAGGAAGAATGGTTTTATAAGTTGACTGAAACTTTCTTTTGATAAGTCGCCGCTCGTGGAGCATGTAAAAATTATGTGACTGTGTGAGTTGATTTATGTGATTGAAGGATGATTGGCGTTATATCCAGTGTAAATGGGAGCTGATCGCATTGCTGATCAGCATTTCTTGGTTCAACTTTTGCCTGGTTGTTCCGTAGGCGAATTAAGGTACGACAACCAAACAGATCTAGTGGAGGTTTTCATCTGGTAAACTGCAACAGACTATTTAAGACACGGCAATGGGATTATTTTGCATCCGTACTAAGGAAGTGGGCACAGAAATATTCCTTCGAAAGATTCAGCACATCAGAAACCTCGGCATGCATAACATCCTTTGATTCGATACACCACAACGTCGAGTACGAACTAGGTCTTGGGATTTCCATCTTCCGGATTACAACAGCCAGGTGAACTCGGGCATTTTTCAACCTGTAGCAGCACAGTACAGGTTCTGTTAGTAAAAAGAGGTCGATCACCACATTGCCAAATCAGTGGGCCATTAAACCCGATGCTCAACTGTCGTTCGACTAAAGGCTAACTCGTTCACATCCACCGGCAACGACTGGGAATCTGCATTCTCCACGAGAAGGTAAGCGCAACCGTTGACTCGTTGGCCGGATATTATGTCAAAAGCGGGGGAAATTATCACAGAACAGTGATTAAAGTAACCACTGGATATCTGAGACTCCAAGTTACGTTTTGACTGGCTACCATAAATTCTAGCTAGGAGTTCCTGCGTTTTTGAATCTTTGGGCATACGGACGCGCCGTAAGATGGAATTCCTATTTTAGCCCGATCACATTTTGTGATTTACTTGTTGGTTACCCGGCCTGCCCTGGCGTGCCCAATCATTTGTTGACACCAACCAGACAGGATTAAAATTTTTTCAGCGTTTACTCGATGGACTTAGGTCGAACATAGTTCGCATTTGTAACTCAATTCCACGAATGAACAAATAACCAAATGTTCATGACTTCTTTGGAGGAATCATGCGCAATATTAGCTCTTTTCTGGCGAAACTCATAGCTTGTTCGTCGTTCGCTTCCGGTACGCCTAGCCAAGGACCGATGAAAATGATTAATGCCAAGTGCGTTCAGCCTGACACTTGGATCACAGGCGTTTCGCTGTCATTAGCATAGGGGGCATTATCACCGCCGAAGGTCAATACCTACTTAAACCTTTGCAACCGACAATTTCTGGCTCGACTGAGAGATCAGCAACCGGATAACCAATAACTCGCCGGGAAGCCCAAGCCTGGAGCGGACTAGTCGAGATGCCGAGGCCGGATTTGAAACACGGTCAGTCATTTTGAGCCTTAACCACCAGAAAATTCTGAGCTCCTAAGCCAAATTGAACTCTCTAAATCAGGTTTCTAAGTCGCAGCTGAATTGTAACCTTCGTCCTGGAGAGATACTGACAACAAAACGCGAATGACATCGGTCAGGCCACGAATAAATACAGTCAATGTTTATCAATTTACACAAAAGTTTTATGTGTTTTATGGGTGTACTGAAATCTTGGATGTGTAACTACGGGTCAGTCGAGGTCACTGCACACCCAGATGTCGGGTCTTTGTTAGTATTCAGTCGTCCAATGTTTGCCACCATTCGGGATAAGACTGCAAGTTTCTCCAACAGAGCCTTGATTCTGTGCACGGAGTTATCGCTCTGAAAATCTGGTAGGGGGCTGCGTTTGTTGCGCGGGTCATCAAAGTATCAACTGAAACATTGTAAACTTTTCACACTGCCTGAGTAGGTGTAAAAGTGGACAAATTTGGGTATTCAGTTTTGCATGTCGTCTAGTTTTCGAAAATTCCCGCAACTGCGTCGGTGATTGCGGCCAGATAAGTTATCGCAAAGCCTTGCATGTGCTAATATTTTTCATGTGGTGTTGGTAAGTCGCTCCCGTTATCGTTTTTTGGGCAGTTATTTCTCGAAAACACCACATTGCAACCTAGCAACCAAGCTTGCTTGTGAAACCACACGGTTTTTCATACACCAGGCTCCCCTTAAATTAACGTGAGCTTTGTACCAATTGACGGTGTCCTTTGCCACCTGCCCCATATTTTACATAGTGGTTCGGCTGTGAAACGGTAGACGAAGTTCAGGGACTTGATACACTTCCGTGATTATGTGAATTACGAAACTTTGTGGCTGTGGACAAGGTTTATTTGGTGAGAGTGCACGTTCTATCCAAAGTCCACATTTATGCTACCAGTGAAAAAAACCGCGTAAATGTCAATTTTGCATCATTCCCTCACCCGGGTAATGAATGCAAGAATGAATGGTGAGAGCATGTAATCCAACCAAAGTCCACATTTATGCTACCAGTCGAAATATGCACAAAGGTAATTTTTGCCTCACTCCCTTATCAGCTTAGAAAATGCAAGAATGAAAATCCTATTTTTCAGAACCATACACATCCAATTGAAAATTTACTCATTTGTTTACTTCTCAGCATGTACTGCGTTCCACGCTGAGATGGTGAGAAAAATCATCAACTTAAAAACATTCCAACACAAGCAAGAAGGGGTTGGTAAACAGTCCTTAGATTTTATTTGGGCAACGCTTCGCTTTGACACGTAAGCTTCATCAGGCTAATTGAGCCGGTTGCCAAGTTGGTTAGGTTATAAGACGGGGAACTCATCAGTGAGCACCCTCCATATCGTCACACTTGGTCAGCGATGAGTGTGAAGAAAGGCTCTTGTCGGTTACTGTGGTTGTGAAAATCTTACTTTGAATAATTAGAGGAGTTTCAACTGATATCCGATCGGGTTTGTTTCAGTAACCGCTCACATTGAGGTAATAATTCACCTCGATTTTCACTGGTAGGTTTTCTTGATCTTTGTGGGGTTGTGATTGCTCTGAGAATTTAATTTGAGCCGGTGGGTTGAGGTCAATTGGAAGTCGGATGATGATTACTGTTGTATCTGATTACCGCACACCAACAGGTGTCAGCTTGACTGATCCAAAACCGTTCTCCATGCTTGCCAGTTCCACTCCTTTTATTATTTAACACTGGGATACCTAGCGTTTTACCCACCAGGGGCAAGGTGACGTGGACCGTGGTCCTCGCCTCAAATCCTCAGCATTTATAAATAAATTTTGTGTCCCGTATCCCGTGCGTGTTGCGCAATCGCTGAGTCCTTCAATAACGCATAATTTCCATCTGCGTTTCTTGGCGGCCTGTTATATTCTACTACGCTTTCCGACTCTATTGTGAAGTGCCTTGGCCGTCTGTCTTATATGGACATTGGTGCACTCGTTACCCTTAATTTTATAGACCAAGTCCCTGGTATTGTTTGCCGGGAGGCAGTGCTCTAGCTGCCTGAGTGCAGAACGCAACGTATTCCTTCTCTGGTGAAATACTATATTTTCAGCCTTGTTTAGAATGCTTCGAATGGCCTCAGATGTCTCTTCTTTATATTGAATAACAGCGGTTCCGGTCTTGTCTGTGTTGGAATTATTGGAGATTTCTTTGTTAAACTTTGTTCTTGAGTATAAATCACTGAGTCAAAAAACGAATTGGGTGAGACTCAGTCATGCTTCAATAACTTCCGCTATTTTATCTGCCGTAAGCTATGTCCGTTCTGAAAGCATAGTGTTTGCTGATAACTGTCACTTGGCTATTACTAAAGAGCCCCAATTTAGGCACGTATGAACATGCTAAATTCACATCGGAACATACAAGGATTTCATCTGATTGAACAGTTAGCACTAGGTTTCCCGGTGAAGCACTTTAAAATACCGGCCAACTGTCTGGCCAGTTCATGCGGTGGAGAACCGATTCCATCTGCTTTCTGTCTAATTGGAACATTTGGTTTATGGATTTTCGGAAGGCCGTAAATTCGGAAGGAGTTCAACCACCTGGTCCAATCACACACTAGAAGAAAACTAGATGATGGATGTGCGAATTGCAACACCTTCATCCTGGTAGCAGCAACCCGGCATCTAGCAAGAACCCACTGAGTTGCCAAAGTGGGAGGAAGTAGCTTGATACGAGGCGGTATCTAGTCAGTTCCAAGCGCAAAGCATTACGCTTTTTTCGGTAAAACGGCGGTTTTAAGTTACCGGTTCACATTCAATATCTTTGTCATATGAAGGCATTTTGGGCGGCTTTTCGAACATCAGTCGCACGTATAAAACCGAAGTTTCGATCGAAAGTGAACATCCGATACGACTGGACCCCTGCAGCATGCAAGTACTTGTCGTCGCCTGATTATCTAGGTGGTATTTGCCGAAATCCCGTTCACTGTGATTGTTTTCAGGTTTTATTATCGCAATCAGTCTATTGTTTGACATAATTCAGTTGTTCCATGCAGGCTATCCGATGGCTACGGAATGGTTATTCAATTAATTACTTGCTGAGCGTTTCTCCTCGGTTAACTTATGAGTTGGATTCGGACTCTCCTGAGATGGGGCGTTTAAATTCCTCGCGCGTTCCACAACAATATTAGGGAAAGATTCAGTCCCCTGGTTTTGATAGTATAATGAATCTTTGGAATATTTTGTGAAGAATTCCGCTTGCGAGTAAAAGCATTTTATGCCAAAAAGCTCGCAAGATCCGCGAGGCCATCTCA